CAAACGCAACACTTGGTTACCCTACTGATTTATTTTCCATTTACTCATTTACAACAAATCCTACATCATCTCCTACTGATATTAATGACTTTATGAGATTCATTCTTGCTTCTCTTCAAAAACATAACTCACGAAAGGACATTATTCATGCATGTACAACTTTGTAATGCACTTGAATATTTATTAGGGGAATGTTGACTAAGCAGGCGCATTTCATGACTACATTTACATTTTCAATCAAATGATTTATCGTACCATGGATTCTAGATAAGTGGTCAAAAGGGCTATGGTAAACACCAACAACAAGTTCGATGGTATATTGAATAAAAAAAAAGGGACCAAATGAGTACAAACGCAAAAGTTAATTACCCTCAAGAGTCATTTTCCCTTCTATTAATCAAATTAGCCTTATGTATTCCTATCAATCATGTATTATTTATATATATATATATATATATATATATATATATATATATATATATATATATATATATATATTACTATAAATTCTATTTTTGGCTTATGAGGCCACAAGTTGTATGTATTTATATTCTTAAATTTCATTATTTGTGTGTGTTTTGTTTCAGGAGCACTCAAATGTAGCAAGGTTTCTTGGAACAACAAAGGTGTGTGGAAATTAAGAGACACTTTTATGACAATTGAGATTCACCACAACATGTCAAAATATGAAAAAAAAAAAAAAAAAAAAAAAAAAAAAAAAAATCAAACAAGAACGAGAATGAAGATTCTTTCATGAATGAGATTGTATTCTTATAAAATGAATTTTTTTTAAAGAATGACTTATTATAAAATATTATAGCCTTATAAATGTGGCAAAAATTCAAAAAATTACACTGTATTTTTATAGAATGTGACAATGAAATTTTTTTCTTGGACATTAGATTCTTTAATAATGTTAATAATAGATGATTATTCTTTAAGAATGTTGTTATTCTTCAACACTTGGTTCAACAATTTGTTATTCTTCAAAATGTTCATCTAATTAGAATATTTATTCTGTTAGAATTTGTATTCAATCACAATATGTATTCTGTTAAAAATATATATTTTAAACTCTTGCTTCACATTCAATCTTACATCAACACAATACTTACCATCCACATTATAACCTAAACATATATATATATATATATATATATATATATATATATATATATATATATATATATATATATATATATATATATATATATATATATTGTAAGGTCCTGAAACGGATCTTACCAGTGATCAAACAATCAACACAATCGATAATAATAATAAAGAAAAGAGTAGAAACAAGAATCTAAACAAGCTTGCACACGCTTCTATTAGCAAAAATGTCTGGCACAACTTGTGGAATAGCAGCCGAAACTCTGAGGTATCAACAACCATTAAACGACCTAGCACACACCTATTTATAATGGACTTGGCCGGCCTTGGGTTTACGGCCGTAAAAAGGCTTACGGCCGTAAACTCTTAGTTGGCTGTAAACTCATAGCTAAACTACCAAAAATGCGTATTTAAACAAAAGACCCTATTAGAGTGAAAGCCTAGACCAAACCATTAATTAGACCCTTCATATATATATATATATATATATATATATATATATATATATATATATATATATATATATATATATATATATATATATATATATATATTTTCATAAATATTAATATGCATTTAGAAATATAAATACCTATTTTTACATATATAGAAGTATTTGTTTTAAAAACCATTCAAACTAAAAACCGATTAAACCGGTCGAATAAACTCTTATTGGGGGTTTGTTTTTTTTATTTTGCTCTAGATCTCAAATTAATTTAGACGTGTCCTAATTTTGATCGTCAGAAATAACCTAACAATGGCAAATTTTGAAGAACTATTGTTAACATCTTAAGAAGTTCTTGTAACAAGACGTATAAGCGTACCACCTAACTAGATATATATTAAATCAATTTCTTTATTTTGATTTCTATTTCAAACTTAAAACAAATTTATTTTAGGCATTTACTTGTTATAATTAAAAGTCTAAAATTTTATTTTGTTTGAACGAAATTTAAAATAGTTTGGTTTCCAGTTTCAATATTAGAGGGTGCCTTCTGACGACTAGACTATCGATACTCATCAATGGCTCCCCAAAGGCAGAATTGGAAATGAAAAAAGGGCGTGAGGAAGGGGGGTCCGCTTTCAGCATTCCTATTTATAATAGCAATGGAATGGCTTAACATTACGATGAAGATATCTTGTCAGAAGGGTATTTTGCATGGAATAAAAATACAACATTCGAAAACAATGATATCACACCTGTTCTACGCTGATGACGCTCTATTTGTGGGTGAGTGGAGTTAAGATAACATTAAGAACCTATCAAGGGTGTGTTGAGGTGCTTTCAGGTGGCATCAGGTTTGAAAGTTAATTTCAACAAATCCAGGTTGTTCAGTATCAGATTTGATATGTAGGAAGTCACCCGATGGGATGTGGCATTGGGATGTCAACCAGCTTCTATGCCTTTCGCATACCTTGGTTTCCTGTGGGCGGAAACATGAAGTTAAAGAAGCATTGGAAGCCCATAATTGATCGATTCTATGGAAAATTATGTCCATGGAAATTAAAAATATTACCCTTTGGAGGAATATTAACCCTATCTAAGGCGGTTCTTGGTAACCCACCATCTTATGTTTTCTCTTTATTTGTGGCACGGTGGGAGTTATATATGTTCTTGAAAACATTCGAAGATGGTTCATATAAGGTGAGAGCGATAATAAGCATAAAATAGCTTGGGTAGCTTAGGAATAAATCATTGCACCAAAGGATATAGGGGGTTTAGGTTTAGGCTATCTTAAGGCCTTTAACTTTTCGTTGATAGTCAAATGGTGGTAGGCATTAAAAACTAACAAATCAGCTTTATGAAGACTAGTAATTATGGGTATCCATAACCTACACAACAAACCTGATGATTGATGATTGCTTATCTAAGAAATATATTCCAGGTGTTTGGAACAATATGGCAGAGGTAATGAATGATCTAAAAAAATGATGGAATCAACTTTCAAGACATTTTAATGAAACAAGTGAAGAATGGTGATGATCGTCTCTTTTGGATGGATGGGTGGTGTAAAAGTGAGCCCCTTAAAAACAGATTCCCAGAACTGTACATATTGGAAAGATGCAAAACATGTAGGGTTAACTAGAGGATACAAGTGGCAGGTCAAACATAGGATTGGAGATCGCCCCCTGCTTCTGATGACCGGGTACATAGTCTCCAAAGGTTACTAGCTGCCAGAGGTGATTTATAGCCATATATAGGGACCGATACATGGAAATGTCCCATATCGAATGATGGTATCTATCATGTAGATGTACTCAGATCAAAGATTGATAATATAGAACCGACAACTAACGAAGTAATCATCTCATGGACTCGCGATGTTCCAATCAAGGTTACAACTTTTATTTGGAGAGCTAATCATATGCATATCCCAACCAATATTGCGTTAAAGAGAAGAGGAGTGCTAGTTGCAAACGTCACATTTTCACAATGCCTACTGGAGGATGGAGATATTGAGCACATTCTGATCTGATGCCTGTGGCGGTTACAATATGGGAGTGGGTTTTTAAATGGTGTGATATTTCCGCCCCACAATTTTATACCATTGGAGATCTTATCAGTTTTTTAAAAATATAGGGAAAATGTCCGAGAATGAGAAACAATCTAATTAGTGTATGCTATGGTCTAGTATGGTTGATATGGGAATCAAGGTGTGATATGGTGTTTAAGAACATATATACTCTTCTCTCTAAGATAATGGATATGGCAAAGTCTCTAGTGTTTACTTGGCTTAAACATAGAAGATCAAATTGTCACTATAAATGGGTTGAAAGGTGTATATGCCCACTGAAATGTTTGTAATATTTTCAATACAAGTTGTAATCCTCTTTCTTGGTTGCTCTCTTGACTCTATCTAATAACTTGGTAGGAAGTGGTCCTTCAATAATATTTGCCGGTTTAAAAAAAAATAATTTGGTTTATTTTCAAATAACAGATTACGATGTGTACTTCTAAATTTGCATTTTGTGTGAACTTCGAACAAAATCAAGTTTATTGCATGATGAACGAGATATTATATTATTTATTTTGGTAATGGTGGAGTAATTGGCTCCAAGTTTGGAGCATCTTTGTCTATCCCATCTCCATCCCTTACTCCATATTCGTTGGTATCTTTACAATCTCTACCTATCTAGTATTCCAATTATAGTCACAATCATTTACATTATTGACAATTTGGTCAAATAAATATTTTAATTTATTGGTTTTAAAATACCCCATGTGTATCATTTAACTTCATATTATCATTGGCTTCGTGTCTGGATAATACTATTCTTTTACTACTTAAATAGGTGTCATCAATAAATTTATTAAAAACCTAAGGACATCTTAGGTAGACATTTGTATATTATATAATAAAAGTTGTATATGACTTTGGTATTTATATTTTTCTTGTGTAAAAGAAAACAGCATACCATTCCACACATGTCACAAAAAAGAAGGATGATTCTAAAGTTAGATATTCCAATACGAATAGCTGTTGTACCATTAATCTTGGAGTTAATTGTAGTTATTAAGTTGTCCTCCGATATTCAAAATCTTCACCTAAACATCACATGGGCTAACACGAAAAATAACAAAATTATAGAAAGAGACAAGTAGGACCCCCTCCACTAAAACTTAGGCTCAATTAATGAATTATCTTTATAAAAAATCCGGTAACATGTTTCTTATTTTGTTCCAAATGAGAAATTATAATAAAAATAACTAAACGATAATTAAATTTTGGACCAACCGAAATATTTTCATAGCCGCCATATTATTAAAATTAATTTAATAATTTATAATTCGCTGATAAAAGCATAGATGCATTCGACTCTCTTCATCAACATACACAACACTTGTTTTTTCCTTCTTCACTACATACCCAATCCATTCCATAATCATGTCCCGGATTAAAGATTTCTTCGCCGGAATCTTGGACTCCGGCAAGCACATTAGCTTATCCAACAAAAGAAAAAAGCTCTTCTTAGCTGCTTTTGCTTCAATCCTACTAGCCTCCGCTCTAATCGGCATTGTCGTCGGAGTCAAGTCTCATAAATCCAGCTCCGGCGACTCCAGCCCAGAAAGCCTCACAGCTTCCTCAGCTCACTCCATCGTAAAATCAGCATGCAGCAGCACATTTTACCCTGAACTATGCTATTCCACAGTCACAAGCCACCCCGATGTCACCACAAAGGTCAAAAATCTTAAGAACGTGATCGAACTTGCTGTTAATATCACAGTATCCGCCGTCGAGGAGAGTTACTTCCGTATAAAGAAGCTCACCACTCGGAAAACTCTCACTGAACGCGAGGTCACGGCGCTTCACGACTGTCTTGAGATGGTATCGGAGACGTTGGAAGAGCTCCATGATGTCGTTAAAGACCTCAAGGAGTATAAATTGAAAGGATCGATCAAGCAGCATGCCATCGACCTCAAGACGTTGATGAGCTCCGCCATTACCAACCAGGAAACTTGTCTCGACGGTTTCTCCCACGATGGCGCGGATAAGAAAGTCCGTAAGGAACTGGAGAAAGGAGAGAAAAAGGTGGAGAAGATGTGCAGCAACGCATTAGCGATGATTTGTAACATGACGAATAAGGATGTGGCCGATGAGATGAAGATGAACGTCGGAAGGAAATTGAAGGAGGAGGAACAGAGTGGTGAATGGCCGGAGTGGTTGTCAGCTGGAGATAGGAGGTTGTTGCAGACAGGGACAGTGACGCCAAACGTGGTGGTTGCTGCCGATGGTAGTGGAAACTACAAGACGGTGGCAGCTGCGGTGGCTGCAGCGCCGTCAAAGAGCAGTGCAAGGTACGTGATCAGGATAAAAGCTGGTGTTTACCGGGAAAACGTGGAGGTTCCGTCGGCCAAAACTAACATAATGTTTTTGGGAGATGGAAGAAAGAATACAATCATCACCGGCAGCCGGAGCGTTAAAGGAGGAAGCACCACCTTCGACTCGGCCACCGTCGGTTAGTTTCCTCATCGGTCATTTCTCAAGCCTAATTATTATTAAATGTTTATAAGTATAATTATTTACATTTTAATTTCTCTAATAATTAGCACTAACATTTTTTCTAATAAGTACTAAACTCTACGATAAGAAGCTAACGGCATATTAAATGTTCTATGTTCTAACTAATGCACCATACTTATACATAATCCATAATATAAAAGCTGTTATTTGGAAGATATTAAAAATAAATTCCAAGTTGCTAGGTCAAGGTCAAGGTGATGTGATTGAAATGAAAGTCCTTTTTCAATATATATATATATATATATATATATATATATATATATATATATATATATATATATATATATATATATATATATATATATATATATATATATATATATATATATATATATATATATATACCTTTTTAGTAGGGTATCCCTCAAATTCGTATAAATCTTAACCAAAACAAAGGGCACAAGTGCTTATTGTAGTATTGGTTGTTTTTGTAGTTTTATGTTATGTCTTTTTGCACTTTATCTTCGCCTACGTGTGGGCATACCCGTCACAAGGGTAGTACGTGATGGCTAATCTTCCATTCCAAATATCATACTCTTTCCAGTTAATTTTTAAGCAATTATTCTGTCATACAAAATGGACTTTAATAATTATCATAAAAATAAACAAATGTTTTTGGAAGATAAAGGAAAATAAAAACTTTTGAGCATTTGTAGAAATAGCGACATTAAATAAACATTTCAACGTAGGTACATGGTCGTGGAACACATATTATATCAATAAAAGTTTATTTAGCACCCCTCTAATATCTATTTTTAAAATAACCATTTTCGATTATATATATATATATATATATATATATATATATATATATATATATATATATATATATATATATATATATATATATATATATATATATATATATTGCACCAAATAGCTTTCAAAAGCTCTGGCCATAAATTTTTGAAATTCAAAATATTTTAAGTCATCTGTTTTTGAAGTAAATGATACATTATATGTCCTTGGTTTTATTATGTTTATTTAACTTTTTGTTAAATATTAAGATAAAATAAATATTATCTCAAAATTAAAAAAAACGTTGTTGAAATTTCAGAATAGGCTTGTTTTTTCTCTTTTTTCTCTTTTTTCTCCGGAGAGTCAGAAATTCATTCAAAGTTTGAATTTAAAATGTGTATTTTTTTTACGAAAAATACATTTTTAGTATGACATAAATTATTCAGAAACAAATTTGATTTAATCCACAAAGACTCAATTATTGAAAGAGTGGTTACGTTTAAAAAACTTCAATAGTATAATTTTATAAATGTAAAATATGAAACAAACATGTTGCAAATTTAATATGTTAAGCTGTCAATTCTGAAATATATATACGCGATATTTCTACCCACTATAAATCTATATCTATATAATTTTACATTACAAACGGTTAATAAATTAACAATTACTACAATTCGATCATTGCACAAGCACTATGATAAAGATGGAGAAGATTTGTTAAAATATAAAATCACAAAATCTCGAAATAGGGGAAAAGCGACATGAACGTGATGAAAAAAAAGGCTAATCTGCTTACCAGTCACATGTTTACCATAATTTCCATCAATTAAGCAGCCGATTATTCAATCATGCAACCACTATATTAATTATATATTAAACCATATCCATCAAATAAAAAAATTACAAAACCAATATTCCATACATATATTCCTATTCCTTAACACTCTTTGATTAAAATAAGACTCCCCCGTTTAAAAAAGGGAAAATAACTCTTGAGGGTAATTAACTTTTGCATTTGGTCCCTTTTCTTTTTTTTTTTATTCAATATACCATCGAACTTGTTGTTGGTGTTTACCATAGCCCTTTTAACCGACTTTTGACCTGTGATAGCCGGTCAAAGGGTTATGGTGAACACAAACAACAAGTTCGATGGTATATTGAGTACAAAAAAAAAGGAAAGGGACCAAATGAGAACAAACGCAACAGTTGGTTACCCTCCTGATTCATTTTCCCTTTACTCATTTACAACAAATCTCACATCATCTCCTACTGATATTAATGACTTTTTGAGATTTATGCTTGCTTCTCTTCAAAACATAACCTACGAAAGAACATTATTCATGCATGTACAACTTTGTAATGCACTTGAATATTTATTAGGGGAATCTTGATTAAGTAGGCGCATTTCATGACTACATTTACATTTTGTAACACTCAAAAATTTAAGCCAAATTTAAACTTTCAAAAACACGTCGAATTCGTCAAAACATTACAACTTTGTTTTCAAAATACATTTATATCATAGTTTTCCCAAAAACATAACACAATAGGAGGAGCTGTACGATCATGCTTTTGTCTTGCTGTGATCCCCTGAGGTACCTGAAACAATAAACTGAAACTGTAAGCCCGAGAGCTTAGTGAGTTACCCCCAAAATACCGATACACATACAGTCCAAATAACCGTGTCACACGTTAACATATCGTAACAAACTGAGCAAAAAAGCACATAACGGGTCCACAACTTTACAGACTGGAATACCCCTGGGCCCACAGTGTGAGTATGGAATACCTACCGGGCCCTCAGCTCACATCTGGATTGCTACCGAGCCCTCAGTACACGTCTGGAATGCCTACCGGACCCTCAGCTCGTATCTGGAATGCCCCCTAGTCCTCAGTATGAGTCTGGAATGCTTACCGGGCCCTCAGATCATATCTGGAATACTCTAGGGTTTGTTGGCTACCGCACGGAGTAGTACAGCCTGAACCCATCCCACATAACATATCACATGTAACAGATAATGCACATACCGGATATCAATCAGTATCACAGGTAGTCCTACAGTCCTACCCTCAAGCGTATCAAACTAGCATGCATAACTAACTTCGAATCAACATAATACAACTACTAGGATATCATCTCCAATGGGCCGGCCTTGGTGCCTTTGACCGACTATCACAGGTCAAAAGCCGGTCAAAAGGGCTATGGTAAACACCAACAACAAGTTCGATGGTATATTGAATACAAAAAAAAGAAAAAGGACCAAATGAGTACAAACGCAAAAGTTAATTACCCTCAAGAGTCATTTTCCCTTTAAAAAACAAATATAATTATATTAAACAAACTATAGAGTACAAACATCCCTTCAATCGAATCAAAAGTTATTTATTTAATTTCTCTTGTGGTGTTCATGCAGCTGTCGTTGGAAATGGATTCTTGGCAAAAGACGTAACATTTCAAAACACCGCCGGAGCTGCAAACCACCAAGCGGTGGCACTTCGTGTCGGCTCAGATTTATCCGCATTCTATCAATGTGACATGTTAGCCTACCAAGACACACTTTACGTCCACAAAAACCGTCAATTCTACATCAACTGCTTGATCGCCGGCACGGTGGATTTCATCTTCGGAAACGCTGCGGTGGTGTTCCAAGACTGCGACATCCATGCACGCCGCCCTGGATCTGGTCAAAAGAACATGCTAACAGCACAAGGCCGCACCGACGCCAACCAAAACACAGGGATTGTTATTCAAAAATGCAGGATTGGGGCTACTTCCGATCTGCAACCGGTGATAGGGAGTTTTCCGACGTATCTAGGACGACCATGGAAACAGTATTCAAGGACAGTGGTGATGCAGTCGAGTATTACCAATGTGATTCATCCAGCCGGATGGTATGAGTGGGATGGGAACTTTGCGCTCGACACGTTGACCTACCGTGAGTACCAGAACACTGGTGCCGGAGCTGGAACTTCCGGTAGGGTGAAATGGAAAGGATATAAGGTGATTACAAGTTCTTCAGAGGCTCAAGGGTATACTGCGGGAACCTTTATCGGTGGTGGTAATTGGTTACGCGCCACCGGTTTTCCTTTTTCTTTAGGTTTGTAAGCATGTGAATTTAATGTAAGTGTTGTGTGTGTGTATCTATCGAATAACGATGGTGTTTAAGGAACATCTTGTGCGGCATTGTATTACTAAACAGGAGTAATTTTGTCATAAATGTTTTGGTATTGTAATTTAATCCCATATAATGTAAATGGCGGCTTTCAAACTTTCATGAAGAATAAAAGACATTTATTATTTATATTAAATTTTGTTATATGTTTTTTTTTTTTTTTTTTTTTTTTTTTTTTTTTTTTTTAACGTTATATGTTTAGTTAGGCCACTATTAGATTTAGCCCATATTCTTGTATAATCATGGTTAGGCCCATGTCCTCTATTTGTTGTACTCTCATTTTTAGGTATAATTTTTTTGAGCGGAGTGGATTTATTAAACCTTTAGCAAGAAGCTAGAGAACAAGGTAAAAATCCGAAGAAATAGTATTTTTCCTATCGTATATTAGATACCAAAAGCAAGAAAAATGTCTAAAGTCATAAAAAAAATCTCATTTTTTCTAGGCTTTACCGTTTCAAAAAGTAAATTATTACGAAATCTCCAAATGACTCATACCGAGACAATAATAATTGTTTCAAAAACATTTGAAAGCTTTTAGTCAACTTTAGCAAATCAACCCAATGCAAGATCTCATTAACCGTGCCATGTGAAAGAGCAGTGATATTCCACCACCTAGCTTTCAAGTTCCATAGAAGGGTGAAAACATTGCAATTAGAGAAAAGATGACCAACAGCCTCTCCAATTTAAGGGCAAACATGGCATAAAAGAGATTCTAATTCAATGTCTTTATCATGTAAATTCAATCTAGTGGGAAGCTTATCTCTTTCAACCAACCAAACATGAACATGAATCTTCGTAGGAACACAAGTATTCTATGTAGTAGGAATGTTATAAGACTCTAAAGTGTGTGCATCAATAAAATTTCTCATCGAAGCAACCAAGAATTCTCCCTCAATATCCAAATCCCACGAGTAAGAATCATTCGGATCAGATAAAACCATCTCATGTATTATTTCACACATCTCATCCCATTGAGCACCTGTAACACCATTACGAGGATATCTAGCAAACACATCCAATATCCTCGTTTCCGAGGATCGATCAAATAAAGACGCCTCCAGATTCGTATCAACAACAAAAAGTCTATGAAATTTGTTCTTAAAAATATTCAATCCATGCCAGTTATCCAACCAAAACTGAGTACTTCTTCCATTTCCCACATTTCTAGTACACAAATCCTCTAAAAAAACACATTTCTTCTTTAGATGATCAATCCCCCTAACAATATTCATCCATGGGCTCAAGCCTACACTTCGAGAACCAACATGACCTCCTAGAGAAGAGTGAAGAACGGAGACCACTTTAGCCGAAAGAGCATTTCGATTATGCAAAAAACACCAATGACACCTGAATAATAAAGCCCTATTTAAAGAAAAAATTCTTCTAATATCAAGACCCCATTTTTCTTTAGAATTCATCACTTTAAACCTAGTAATCCAACGCAATTGACTTTCTCTAATATCAGCCCCCCAAAAAACCTAGCTCTTAAAGATTCCATGAGATTAATGCTCTTAAGAGGCACTTTAAAAATGGACATTTGTTAGATTGGAATATCTAATATCCCACTAATCCAAGATAAAATTTTCATTTTTAAAACAATGATTCATACAACAATTGATTCTCAAAGCCATTCAAGATGAAAATAGTATTTAAGCATCAAAGTAAAAATCACCAGTGCAGAATAAACTTTGGGGGATCCTGTGCAGTCACGTTAGACCCTTTCCTTCCGAACCAGAAGTACTTGAAACCATAAATATAAACTGTATGCACAAATCTTAGTGACTTACCCAAAATACCCCATACCATAAATACATAACAATTAAAACATAAATGGGTCTATTTCACTCTCTTGAGTCTCTTACGATCGATACTAGGTCTATTTCAACCCATTCGATCTCTTTTAACTAGTAATGGGTCTATTTCACCACTCGGTCTCTTTTAATCGGTACTGGGTCTTTTTCACCCCATTTGGTCTCTTTCGACCGATATCGTGTCTATTTCACCCCTACAACTAATCATACAATCATATTAGCAAGATTCACAAAGACATCAAGCACATACATGCATAACGTTAAATGTCACAAAGACAACTATCATCCTACAAATATAATCCAGTGGTCTGAAATTTATTCCCTCGACCCACGAGTACAATGAAGAGACTCACCTCACTTTGAAGATAGACAAAACACACTCTCGGGTTGCTGCTACTATGGCTCCTTACACATGAATATTCTAAATTAACTTTAATCAATTCTTAGGGTAATAACCTAGGAATGCTCCAAATTACCCTCTTACATGCCAAGGGGTAAAAGACCATTTTAACCCTTCCTCTAATGGGCCCCACAATCCATGGCCCAAGTCCAAAAGTCCTAAGGCGCAACAATGTGCAAAGCCAAAGGCCATAAATGACCTGAACCTAAGGCCCAAAATGACACAAAACCTACGGCCCGACATGGCTAAAAACCTCCAAAATGGTCCCTTGTGAGTATGCCCATCATACCAGCTATGTACGCCTGACATACTACTTACTCAACGAAGAGGGATCGAGGCTTAAACCATGTATGCACGACATACTTAGAAGTATGCCCAACATACTAGTTAGTTCCTCATTCTCATTCTCATGGCTTAATCCCTTAAGACCTTAGCGTCCGAATCTACTTCTAAATAAGGTCTTAATCCATATAGTTGGAAGCTTTAAGCCCTTTTATAACTTCAATAGGTTCAATCCCTAGATTTAAGATTCTACTTTCATCAAATAACCATTAGCTCATGTAAGGTTGATCTACAACCATCAAGATGAAAACTTTATGAGCTAGTAACCTTAAAAACATCAAAAGGAACAAGTTAGCATTTACTCACAAGAACTCATTCATGAGACCATAATATGCTCAAATCTCTATAAATCATATATCTAAGCATAGAATAATCAAGCTCAAGACATTATACATCCAAGAAGCTGAGAAAGATGAATAAACCCTGGATCTAAAAGCTCCAACTTGATTAATGCTCCTTCACCATGATTCTTCCATTTCAAGATGCTCTAAACACACACCAAAACACACATAAGGGTCAATTCTCTCTAAAATGGATTAGGGTTTCGAAATAATGGTTTTGGGGACAATGAAAGCTGATAATAAGAGAACCTTGGGGTATGAGGTTGGTTAAATAGGGTCTAAACCCTAAAACTTTATGGTTCTCATTATCTATTGTTACACCCTATGTAGTATATGTACACCCGTCGTACTAAGATGAATCTTCGCAATCACTTAAGCTCGGTACACCCAACATACACCCTAGACGCCCAATGTGTTGGACTAAATCCATATTCTTCTTAAATTCTGATAGTCATAACCCTACATCTTAAATCCATTTTCGATGTTCATCATATCCATGAAAGGTCTCAGAGAGCTACACAACTCTATCTTGTTAAATTTAGCTTAATAAAAGTTGATCTCAAAACCATAATCCTTGCAAGTAGTCTAACACCTATCCTTTCCAAGTTCACCCTTGGTTCCCACTCACGATTCGATTGCATAGATCTGACAACCAAACTTGTCAACCTTTAATAAGGCTTAAACTTTACTTTCTCCAAGCCTCAAAGTCTTTACATAATTGATTTATGGCCCACAAGTCCCAAAGCACAGATAGATCTAAAACAGGGTGTTACAACTCTCCCTCACTTAAACTAGATTTCTTCCTCTAAATCATTCCTTACTACTTTCGCAGTCTTAATAATCAAACCTCTTCAATACCTCTATCAGAGCCCATTCTTAACAGAAATCACACCTCTTCGCAAAGAAATGAACCTTATCAATCTTTCATTAGCAATCGAAAGAAAACACAAGTTCTCTTCTGAAAAAAGAGGAAACCATAAACAATGCATGTCTTCTCAACATGAAAAAATTATCACATCCTACATCCATAAAAACTTAAATTCACAATCTAAGCCAAACGAAATGCTTCCGACCCTGAATTATTTTGCTGACCATTGGAAAGATAGAATCCCTATCTTTTCATCGTAACTAGATCATTTCTTTTGAAAACAAGGTGACTTCACAATGCATGTATCACCACCCTAGGTGCTAGACCGATATATAACACACATTCTGATAACCAAGGATTTGTATATTCGATCTACCCGAGCTCTTGACTCCATGTTGACTTTCTACTAAACAGGATTGTTGAATTCCTAACTGTCTACTAAGACTGTCAACCTGATGCATGGTCATGAATCGAGACTCCACCCGAGAGTCTAACTGACATGGTTCGCCAACATGGTTCCAAAAGTCCTCAAGGGATGACATAATTGACCTACATAGGAAGAAAAGCAAATGCACTACATTCTAGGTGAATGCGACCATCCCAATTGTAGTCTCACATCACGACCAACCACAAATCAGCCTACATCCTCCGTTGATCTCCTGAATGTTGCAGTCCTCCCACAGTCTCTCAACTTATCCTGTCATGGTCTAATACTACCTTGAGGAAACTACAAGTCAAACAGATGATTCGCTATACACTCACAAACTATTCATTGATCAGGTGAATGCTACCGGCAACCCCATAGTCTTACAACACTACTACCACTACCTGCAACCTAGTGAATGCATGGACCACCCTACAGTCTGATAACACTTTCACAACAACTTAGCAGCCTGACATATGTTATGGCCACCCTATAGTCTTACGATGCCTCTACCATAACCAAGATATCATGGCCTTTTCATTCCTCTACCATACCATAATCAACCACGAGTCGAAACCTCAATCGGTGTTCCGGTCATGCTTTGAACCCTAAGGCCTTTATCAGAAAATTACAGGCAGAGAGGCTCTAACACAACCCTCAACGTTAATCTAATCACATATTCTTCATGTTCCACTACTGATGTAATGTACTCTCATGCGAATAATCCTAAACACCCATTTCTTGTGC